ATTTCTGCTTGATTTTAGGTTGGATCTCTCTTTGATAATCTTGTTGACAATTTGATTCTGAACAACTTGGGTCATTTTTATAAATCAGAAAAAAATTGAAGCTCTTTCTAGAAAGAAAAAAAATACCTGACACTGGTAAATCTCATTCATTACTTGAATTAATGGATTAATCAGGCTCTCTTGGAAGATCTTATGGAATATTGCAGGAAATCTGTCAGGACCTCAAGGTGCTTTAAGTTTTAAAGTTTTAAGTTTTAAGCTGCATGAGATGCTTAAAGTGGAGTTTCTACCAAAGTATTTTGTAAACTGTAGGCTCTGAACCTGGCTTTACATAAGCACATAGACCCATGGTGGTGAACCTATGGTACGTGTGCCAGAGGCTGCACTCAGAGCCCTCTCTGTGGGCACGCGTGCCGTCACCCCAGTCCTAGGCCTTCAGCTGGGTTTTATAAAACCTTTTTGCTTTAGGCCTCCGTCGTGTGCAAAAAAAAAAAGGTTCAATCAATCAATCAATTTCAACTTCTCATGGGACTTGCAAAGTTGGAATTGATTGATTGAACTTTTTAGTCCCACCCAGTCTGCTGTTACCACCACAGCCACGCCCACCCAATGGGCCACACTCATCCAATGAGCCACGCCCATCCAGCACCCGACGATACATGTGGGCTTTGGCTTGCAGTTTAGGCACTTGGTCTCTAAAAGGTTCGCCATCACTGACATAGACCATGATTAAAAACAATAATTAAGGTGCTGCAGATGCAGGTAGAAAATAGTGCCTTGTGAATACTTGTATGCCATGCAAAAGCGGCCATATTAGTACAACTCTACAACATCTACAAATGTTTATGAACCTTCTAAATCCATTAATCTATTCTAAAACCCCAGAACAACCGGCAAGAACAGCTAATGTTGATGATGAATGTTTTATGGCTCTTGAAAGTTTAGAAAATATTACACATTTAAGTTTTGTGACCATTATTAAGCTGCCGAGTCTTCTTTTGAGGAGGAGCAAATTAAATTTTATTTTTTAAAAAATTAGACAGTAAAACTGGAATAAACAAACAAAATTTTAAGAAACTGAGTGGAAAAAAGACAGCATAGCATTAAATAAACAAATACAATTATATACAGAAAGTTAACTACACATCAGCAGCAAATTCTGATCATTTTTACTGCAAAGAACTTTCTCATCAAAGAGACGTGCCAGGCAATACTCAGCTTGATGCACACACATTGAATTTCTGATAACACCACTGCCTTCCATGAGGCTTTTTCATTCTGTGCCCATTTATCACAATTATCTTAACCATGGACTCTATTGCAGTGTATATATTGTGCTAAGCCAAAACCAAGAAATCCCCATCATGGATTATCATGCTATGAGAATCAATAGTTATTCTGCATCAGGACTAACCATGGCTATTAAAACCTAGATTTTTCTAAGTTTGTAACTAGTCTGAAATTATGAGTTAACAAACTTTCTTTTTCAATCAAATTTACATCCTGTGCCATGGTTAAAGCCAAGTTTTGGGGGGGGGGAGATCATGGCTATGAGATCAGAAGCATTATTTTTGTTGCTGACTAAGCTTACATATTTCACTTTAGTGGGATTCACACCTTGTAAACTGAGCATAGCGTTTTTCTCTTAAAATGCAATTCATAACTAAAGTACAGTTGTTGTTAAGAGTCTATTAACATAGCTATATGCAATGCTATATTTCATTGGAAGAAACACATTTTTGTCTGTGGTTACATGATAAAGTTACACATCTTGTTTTACTTCTACACACAAATGGAACTCTTTAAACAAGGTTATAGGATTATTGTGCCATGTAAACTCAAAACAGCTACCATTTTTTTATTCTCATAAATACAATATGATAACTTTAAAGGAGAGCATCTGGTTTATCCTGATTAAAGGCAGTAACATGTGAAGCCTGTAATCTAGGTTAAAGAGTCCTATGTGGCAGGGATTAAAATGGGACTGTACATATGCTTGGTAACTATTGGTAACCATGCATGTTGCACTTTACAGCGAAAACCTGCAAAGATGTTTATTTCTCAAAATAGATACCCAGAACCGCAACTGAAGGAGAATTGAACAGATTGATCAAAATCCTCCATTAAAAAATAAATTTAAGATACATCCAAGCCTCTTGTCTAAAAGTAAAAAAAAAGGAAAGTCCCTGAGCTCCAAGTTATGATCATCTGTACATGTTTGAACTGTTTCTTTTTGTTTAGTATTATATCAAAATAGTTGGAGTTTTGGCCTGAATATAATAAATACCCTTCAAAAACTTGAAGATTGTTATTGCTATCTAAAGAAAATGTATGAGATCAAAGTCTAGATCAGGGGTTCTCGACCTTGCAACTTTAAAGACTTGTGGACTTCAACTCCCAGAATTCCTCAGCTGGCTGAGGAATTCTGGGAGTTGAAGTCCACAAGTCTTAAAGTTGCCAAGGTTGAGAACCCCTGGTCTAGATCAGTGTTTCTCAACCCTGGCAACTTTAAGATGTGTGGACTTCAACATGGCTGTATGAGGAATCCTGGGAGCTGAAGTTCACATAACTTAAAGGGCTGAAAAACACTGGTCTAAGATTGATCCTTGTTGATTAAGGACACATATTTTACTTGACTTATATACCCAGTGTTTGGAATCAGTCCACCATCAAGATTCATGGACTGTTTGGACATGGAAAACATAAAAACATTTGATGCTTGAAGGATAAATCTGTACCTCAGTTGCAATAGATTCCTGATCCATGTTTTTTATATAATTTGAATTACAGTTTTCTGATGGAGGCAAGGAGAGCATTTTCAAGTAATAAAGTCAAATTATCAGGCCTTTCCCACCTTCCAGTTTTGTGGATGGGAGGGTGAATTTCAATATTATACCATTATATTAACTCAGTATGTAGTTTTTCTTCTTTTAGTAATTAATTTGCTGTAATAACATACTGCAATAGAAAATAATACATTTTAGCTTATTTTTCTATGAATGCATTGAATTGATACTAAAGAAACATAACTTTTAATGCCTACTATAAGAATGACATAATGGTAATAAAAGAACTGCATAGGGAAAAAGATAAACAGCACAATTTCTAGTATGGATCTTAAAAAGCTTATTTTTTTTCCAATATCTAATCCTGAAGATTATTTTAGCATGCTATTATCAATACAGCTAACATTTAAGTCTCCATGCAGAGTAAAAACATGGTTATGTGCTTTTTGACTGTTCTTCAGTTATGATTTTGTGTTGAATACCCTGATTGGTCTTTAGAATCCCCGCACAGATGCTAGATTTTTTATTTCCACAATAGCTTTAAAAGACTCATCTCTGTATTTAGATTATTCTGGTTTGAATAAGGTTGCTTTCTCCCTAACCATTGCATGTTTTTGGGATAAAATGGCATCCTTGAAATGACAAATGACTATCTCTTGATTTTGTTGGCACAGCCTTAAACTGAAAACACACATACACACAAACAAGCATGTGATATATTGCATGAAAATCTGTACCACAAATCAATTTGTTATTTTTTAAAGTACTACAATTTTGTGGCAAAAGCATGTACATGAATAATAAAATGCTCAATTGTAGTGCCCCCAGCCACTTCCCACCATCATGGGAATCTGTAATTCTGGATGTGCAGTCATTACATGCAGAGTATGCATTCTACCACAATATTCTCATTCTATTGTAAGGGCCTATGTCCAAGCACGCCTGGTGAAATAATAAATATTTTCAAATTAATAAATAATCGTTCCTTTTATGAACATTTACGATGAATGTCAATTCCTGCCTGCCATGTTCACTCCAAGGAATCTAGGATGTTTGAGACTATGTAGCTCTGCCTTATACTGGTCCACTGTTTACTAAATGATGGACATCAGCAAGGCACTTGTTCAAGAATCATCTTTAATGTGAAACTGTTAGCATGCTGAGTATTTCTGCACTGCACTGAAGAAAACATCAGGTAGTACATATTCAATAATGTACAACCTAAAAATGGGGCCAAGCAACAAGCTAATACAACTGTATAATTCTTATATGCAAGTATAGGATTATACCAGAGGCGTCAGGGAAGGAGTATTAGTCTCCAAAATCAGGATGGCTTCCCTTCCTCTCATAAAAAGGAGGACTTTGGTTGCCACCATCATCTGGACTCTTTTGACTTTCATACACTACTGGTTATGTGCTGGGACTCCAACCCTTCCCTTTGCATTGGTGCCTGAAAAACCAATCCTTCAAACTCTAGGAATCCTCCACAATTGGGACTCCACAGAGCCATAGAGAATTAATGAGAGGCAAAAACTGCTGTGCATCTCTGAAACCCTTTCTCTTTGTGCAAGGCATTTCTGGGTGACTACTTACAAAAGGCAAAATGCAGCTGCATCACTTATGCTGAACTTGTCGGGATTCTGCAGCCGCCATTCATATAGCCCATATCTGCACAAGAAATATTCCAGATGATGGGGAGCAATGATTGTAGGGAATGAAGATAAATGAATGTATAAGTACATACAACAAAGTAAGGATTTCATTTGTAGAATTGCAGATATTTTTATGCTGTAATCTGTTAATGAAGGTAGAGCAATTTTCAGCAGTGGATGTCAAGTTCTAGAATTCTCTCCCCCAAAGAGCTTTCTCAACACCTGCCTGTCTTTTCAATACTAAATCTGTTTTTATGTCTTCCAATTAAAATTATTATATTGCTGTTAGGTTTTATCTGGCTGCTATATGCTATTTATTTTTGTTGCATTTGTTTTATTTATTCTTGGATATGCCTTCCAGTGAATATACTAAAGAAAAGCATAAAGAATATTAACACATAAGATAGATGTATATTTTGAATTTAAGTAACAATTCAAACAAAATTTTGTAGTACGCATCCTATCCCAAGGGCGAAATCCAAATGGATACATTTTCCCCTCTTGTGCTCTTATCTAAAATACACTGTATTTGTAAGTTCAAATTCAGAGAGTCACAAATAAGGAAAGATACTAAGATTTTTTTTAATAAGAGCAACCCAGAAAAGTAATTTTCACCAGCATTGATTCACATTACAGTACATCAATATTAACAGCATTCTTTTTTTTTTCCTATTTTTGGTACATAAGATGGAACCTTTCTACATAACCTCATAAGGCATCAATAACTAAGAGTAAAAAACCTATTAGTTTACAATTTGTTTAAAAAATTCAGAAATACACAGCAAGTCCTAAACTTTAGTAGTGCTATCCATACACAACTACCTGGTTTCAGAACCCATTTAAAAGCCCCAACTCTTTCAAGGAAGCTCTGCAACAGTGATGTTGTGCAATATGGATGTTGCTTACTATGACACCCTCCCCCCCGAATATTACACATGGCACATTCTCATTCAAATTTTGCAATGTAAAAAGTTACAAACATATCTAACCAAATAAATAATAATTAAAAATGAATATGTTTGTTAAGTATCCTAAAACCACTATGCAGAATAATGGCCGTTTTCTCTCACATATTATATACATGGTAATACCCAGCAAAGGGTACACTGCTACAAAACATGTTAAACAAAGAGTAAACTTGAAATGTTTGATTATTTTCTTTCCATAATAAAAATCTAGCAGCTTGACTAGCTAATGCTGTTGTGTTTTCTTGAATTTGGGAAGTGTTTAATCTATGTCTTCATCCAGTTCGTAATTGTCTTTATCATAAATATCTTTTACTAAAAGAACCCGTACAAGCATATTTTCCAAAGTATTGCGGTCCACTGAAGTGGAAGTATACCAAATGGAACTCTCGGAAGATAGTGGACAAGCTGGCTGCAAATAGAACACGTCCATTCTCTGAGTGAGATTAGGTGGGCTGAAAGGAATAAAACAAGAGCAAAATTAATAAGGGACACCTATTATTTTAACTATATGTTCACTGTAATAATCTCAGTTTAAAGCACAATATAAAGTAGGTTAGAGCAGAAGGAATATTTATTTACCAGATAGCAGCTATTGACTTTTAAATATCAATGAAATATTCACTGTACAATCTGGATTTCTAAAATAGTGCTATTATACAGGTAATCCTCACTTCTTCTTCTTAACTTCCTCCTTTACCACTTTGGGTGTTGAGGGAGATACAAAGTTCTGTAAGTCCTTGCTTAATGACCCTAATTAGGACTGGAATTTCCATTGCTGAATGATACAGTTATTAAGCATAACATCATCCGACTGCACAATTTTGATAGTCCTGATTGCAATTGTAAAGCAAGGATTGTGCCGTTGTTAGGCTAGGTCTCATGCTTCTCCTGCTCTGCTACAGTTGCTTTTGCTTCAACTCCCCCCTGCGCCTATTTCCCCTTAATTCTACCTTTGACCACCCTGTACTCTGCTACCCTGCACCCTCACTGCCCTTCACTACTCCCAGCTGACCTTTGCTGACTTCTTCTTCCTAGTACTGATGAGGTGTATTTGGACCTGGAACTTCACAAGGCAGCTGCTGGGCCAAATGAAGCTTTGGGAAGATTATGCAAGGCCAGCAGTTTCATCACAAAGGGCCAGGCCAGGAGCACCTTGTGAGCATCACAAAAAGCCAGGTCAGGAGCACCTTTTGACAGCAGGAGGAAGAAGAGGGTGATGGTCAATTGGGGTGGAAGGGGGTGGCAGTGGTACAAGGCAATAGGGATTCAGGGTGGAGTACAAGTCAGTGGGGGCAGCGGGAGTAGTGGAGTGTAGGGTGGCAGATCCAGGAAAGTATGAGACAGCTGAAAGGCTAAAGATGGGGTGGAGATTGAGGGTGAGAGAGTTCAAGGGCACTTGAAGTTGTCAATATGGGCAGGCTATTTGATTATGTGTGGGAGTGGCGCAATGGCTATAACTTCAAACACGAAGTCTAAATGCCATTTGATTAGCACCATTGTAACTTCAAACTGTTGCTGAAAGATGGCTATTAAGTGGGGACTACCTGCATAGATTTTGTTTTCCTGCCATGAAATGATATTAATTATTGACATAATAACCCTGTTTATAAAGTCAAGTAATTCTAATTTGTAAACGTAACTTATATTTTGTTCAGTGGAACAACTTGTCTCCAGAAGTTGTGAATGCTCCAATACTAGAAGTTTTAAAGAAGAGACTGGACAACCATTTGTCTGAAATGGTATAGGGTTTCCTGCCTGAGCAGGGGTTAGACTAGAAGACCTCCAAGGTCCATTCCAATTCTGTCATTTTACTTACAATGTTCTATTTACTATAAATTTCCTAATGTGCCCAGTGCTCCCTATATTGGCTTCTTAGAAGTAACACAAAAGTTGCTGTTCCTATAGCTGGTTTTAGGTGGTCTGTGCCTGAATTGAAATATATTTGCTGCAAGTATTTTGGACTGGGTTAAGGAGACTGACATGTATAAAACAAAACAGGATGTTTGTTCCGGCAAAGTGGAACAAGGAGAGGAGGAGCAGTTAAGGAGCAAAGGAAAACCAAGGATATCAGCAGCTGACAGAAGGTTGAAGGGATGCTGGGACCTCAGTAACGGTGGCTGTTGAGATGAGCATACTAGTTGCATAGGCTGTGCATATCACTGATGGCAGGGGCGGAAGAATGGGGAGGGAAGGTGGGCCAAGGGGATATGCTACCTTGGGATCTTAGAGAGAGAAGGTGCTGGGACAATCAGGGCAAAGAGGAAAGGGAAGATGCTGGGAAGATAGGGAGAACAGCACTGAGAGCTGCTATAGAGCTGAGAAGGTGATGTTACTGCAGTGTTACCCCTTCTTGCCTAGTCTAGATTTTGTTTGCTCCAAAATCTGGAGGAACATCCGAGTATTATGAGTTTTGGCCCATTAAGCATGAAACAGATGCTAAGCATGAAACAGGGAATTAGATGTGTGAATATCTAGGATGCTGCAAAGTATGTCTGTAAACAGGATTGTTTAATATATTTAGAAGAAGATTGGGAGATAAGACCATTTAGCAGACACTATCACTGAATATGAGTGATATTAGAATTAATATATAGTTTGATGGTTTCCTTGCGCTGTAATGTTTTCAAGTACTCCCTGATGGAAATTCTAAAACCAAATGAAAAAAAGGTCCATACATAGACTCAGACACAATTAACATTTTTTAAAAAAAATACCTCCTAGATAAATAGCATTCAAACATTTTCACAGGACATCTAGAAGGATCTGCGATGTTTTCCATCTGTTCAAATACTGGCTCATCGTCTTCATGCTTCCTTTTTCCAGCAGTAATTTTATCTTCTTTTTTAAAAAAAGGAAAATTATACAATATGATTTTTATTATTTATTTTATTTTAAAAATGGACATATTATATCACAAAGGGACTGAATTAAATACAAGAATAACAGCTATAATGTTGTGATGCTGCAATCACTGTCTTACCTGAAGGGAGATTCAGGAATATTTTTTCAGTATTTTTTTTCAGTTAAATATATTTTTCAGTAAAAGTCTTTTTTCAGCAACTTCATCGAAGTAATTTTAACTGTGGCTTTATCAAGGAAAAGATGAAAAACCTAAGTTCCAGTTCTTTTTCTTTTCTGAATGAAGACTCTATCCACACAAGTATTTTATCTTACAAAATAAGCTGAGAATCTGATTTTCTACCTTTTCTTTAAATTTGCTATTTAAACCAAATATACTATTCTAATTCATCAGTCTCTGCCCCAAGTTGGCAGCTACACAATTCTGTTCAGTTGCTTAAAAGTAATTAGTTACTTAGCTTACTTGTTTTTAATTCCACCAATAGTTAAGGATGGCTTGTTGAACTAATTAGTCCATAACACCGAGCTATTAAACCAGAGGTGTCGAACTGGCGGCCCACAGGCCGGATGCGTCACGTGCAGGCCATGCCCACCCTGGCTCCACAAAGGCAAAAAACATTGCGATACATCATGTGACGCGATCGAGTTTGACACCCGTGCACTAAACTAAAACCAAATAAATCACATATAACAATGTATAATATGTGAACCTAGTTAATATAAGGACAAGTATAGGTGAATGAAATTTAAAGACTAAACAATAAGAGAAAAATAAGATCCTGAATTTAATCTCTGGGTAGAAGTACAAAGTTTGAAAACTGTGGAGTACTGCCAGCAATGTGAGTGTGTGTGTGTGTGTGTGTGTGTGTGTGTGTGTGTGTGTATAATAGTGAATCACTATCTTGTATTATTTTATTTTCTTTCTAGAACCTATGTAAAATACACTCCTCTGCTTCAGATAGAAACCAGTGAATAGAAAAAAATCATATCCAAGTATCACAGGGGCTCCAGTGTCTTTCTACAATGTCTACTGGTTTTGCAAGCAGCGTAGCCCAGTAACTTTTGCCATTGGGAGAAAAAGTTGCAATACCTTCATTATCTGTTCCACACAGAGAGGAAACCTGATATCTAAGACAAGCTTTGCTTTCCATCGTTAGAGGATTCTTCTTCCAATGTCTATAAACAGTGCCAAAGGAAAGTCTTAAGTGCTGCTCCACTGTTTTCAGACCAAAATACTTGGTGTTGAAGTAGAATAGTGTATTTAAAAGAGCAGCTGGAGAATGGGATCCCAGCTGTTTAATCTTCCAGAGATAGTCCTCCTCAACTCGAGAAAATATTGAACCTGACAGGTGAAAAAGAAAAGAGTTATAAAGAATCAGCCTGTAAACACTTAAGCAAATCCAACATTAAAAAACTTAAGAAAATAAAAAAGGTTATATTAATCTGAAAAACATGTGAAATATTTAAGACCAAGTACCTTAGCCCAACAAATTAACCAAAGACTAAACTGTGCTTATAAATTCAACATTTTTACATAGCTTGTAATTGTAATTGTAATTGTAATTGCTTAAAGAACACAAAGCCAAAAAGATAAAAAACACCAAAACAAGATAAATTACCATCTGGAAGTATGCTGGGCTGCCAGCTTCTGAGTATTTTATTTATTTCCTGCATAAATGTATGATAATTAATATCCAAAAAGATATTATCTTCTCGATTGCTTCCATTCAGGTACTATAGAAAAGAAGGAACATAAAAGTTAGTACACTCAAACAAAAGAAGATTGCCAAACTTTTCTTGATCATTTTCATGCATATAAAAAAGTAATTGCATAAGAAAGCAACCTTAATTTAACTACTAATTGGTTTGATCTTTGTGAGGAATTTGGGATTCATTCAAGGAAGTAGGGAGTGATTTTTATACAACCTCTCATTCCATTCCAAGGATCCTGCAGCTCAATCTCAAAACAAATGACTTGAAGGAGCCTTGTTTTAAAATTGGCCAGGGTTTGTTATAAACCATGATCCCTAGATAGTATGCAACAAAAAGCTGAAATTCAGGGAGTGTATGAAAGGGTAATATGAGCTCTCCAGGCCATGGGGGAACAGGAGGAGAAAAGTACATAAGCCTGGGTCCTGCTTCTGTTCATTCCAATTGATCTACATGACATTAAACCATGGCTTTGTAGAAAGCGTAAACGCAGCTAGTATTTCAACTGATAAGTCTATGTTCTGTCGATCACATTTATTTGAAAAAATATAGCAACCACATGCAGATTATCTAATATTTAAATTACTCACTTCCTGAATCCCAAGACACAAATAATAGATACTGTCAGGTGCATAGTTTTCTCCGTTTGGTCTTCGGACTTCATTTACAAAGTGTGCCAGCCCAAAATTTAGCTCAGTAGAAGTATGTGATATAATATCTTCTTTCAATTTTACTGACTTTGCTGTAGTGGGAAATGTAGGGTAACATGTAATGCTGTTTCTTATTAATAAAATAAAGCACCCAGCAGATGAGTATAAAATAAAGGAAACATTCAAATATTGCAAATATCATCATAAAAACCTCTTTCAAATGTAAGACATATAGCAAAAACTTTTCATTTAAAATATTGATTTCTATGCTACACATAATGCTTAGTTTGCAGTAACTGTCAACATACAATGACCTCATTTGATGATCAGATTCTGAAGATGAAGACATAATTTGCCCTTCACAACCCAGTAAGCCCATTAGAAAAACAATATCTGAATACAGATCCATGTTCTACAGCTTTATCTGCTGGGCATATTGTCTCTATGTTTTAAACTAAAGACTTAAAGCTAAGCAAGATACTTACTTGATTTTAGCTCATCTAGTACTGAAAGATCTTCCTCTAGGTTCCTAGCTTTTACCCAGTGTTTCCATGCATTCACACCATATGCATACTTGAAAGGAAAACTGCACTCTGAGTTCTCAGAGCCATCATCTTGAGAATGGTATTCTGACACCGCTTTTCTCTTTAGTCCCTGTCATCAAAATAGACTTTGTTTATTAACAGTGCTTATTAACACTGAACAACCAATGATGCTATTTTTTTAAAGAGAGGTGAGGTCCAATTATGCCAGAGGCACCAACTATGAAACAGGCATTGGGAGTGAAGTTTGAGATTCTTAAATTAGTTGTGTTCATGAATGTATACAAACAGTAATATCTATTTCATAACATAAATTATGAAATTTGAAAAGACACATGGCATATAAAACAATACTAACAAGCACAAGTCACCTGCCTCATTGCCCCTCAACCATAGAAGATACTATTTGTGTTTACCACTCTAATTACAAATATAGATTATACCTTCTTTTTACTTCGAGGTCTTGGCTGTTCCTCGTATTCTTCTCCAAATACAGGTGGTAGCAAAAATTCATTCTCTGTGTCAAGTTCTTCTGTTGCTGCATATATATAAAAGTGTATCCACCAAGGATATTGTTAACATGCAGTCCAACATTTTGTACATACATTTATAAATGATGAAGGAATTATTTGTTTTACAATATATTTTCCACAGGATTCAAAGGTACTTTTAACAATTGTAGAAAATAATGCAAGTGAGTATTCTAGTTATTTTAATTATTATATCTGACATACACTCCTGTTTTACTCCCTTTGTATATTATACTGTGTGTGTGTGTGTGTCTGTGAGTGTGTGTGTGTGTGTCTCTGTGTGTCTGTGTGTGTGTGTCTCTCTCTTTGTGTATGTGTATATATATATATAATGTATATTATACATATATAAATTACTTAAACTATTGGATATTTCCATATATAAAAATACTTCAATAATCGAATCCTGATCAACTGTAATTCTAGTCTATAGCCAACATAATGCAATTAAATACAGATTTAGGCACGTGTGCGTGTACACACACACACATTTCCTGGCCCTTGCCTACTCCTATTCCTATATGATCTTTTGCATCTTTTTACACATGGGACTTCTTTGCAAAAATGTTCCAAGTCAGTTTCCCTAAACTGGTTCATTCCCAAAGGTGGTGCTGTTCTCATTCCTCCCCATGGACCTCATTTTGTCAAGACTGTCTGTTAGTAACTGTTCTTGTAAATTCCAGCTTGTATCATTAATAATATGTACCCACTTTGTCTTCTGTAAGTCTCTTTTAGAATTGCCTTCAAGTTTTTCCAAGCATCTCCATTGACTTGTCTCTGTATTATGTGTAAAATACTGAAATTTTAGCTTCATTACCACTTCTTTCATGGGCAGTCTGTTTTTAACTTCATGGAAGTATTGGTTTGTTTTTCTTGTGACTTAAGCTATTTTTCTGGCAGGGTTGGGGTGCTCTGAGTGTTTTTCAATGTCATCTATCAGGATCTTGGAAGTGTGTTTTCTCTGTAGCAGCACCTGCCCTCTGGAATAAGATTCCCCTGGAGAGTCAGATGGTCCCCACCTTACTGTGTTTTGAAGGCTTTGGAAGACCTGGCTCTTCGCCAGGCCTTTGGTGAAGGTGAAGGCCCCTTAAGATTATGTAGTTTAAATTTTCTTTGTTCCTATCTTTGTGCCTCGTGCTTTATTTTCTTTTGTTTTCTTGTTTTTAATGTTTTAAACAACTGGTAAACTGCCCAGAATCACTAGGAGTTGGGCAGCATATAAAATGAATAAATAAATAAAACTAATTTCCTGCAGCATTGCAACTGAAAAGCATCCGTTTTCTTTCATTTAGTTTTTTGACAATTTAGCTTTCAGAGTTTTATGTAACAGCTAGGAGCTAAATGTATTGTTGTCCCATATTCCTGTGATGACTCAGCACTATGTTATTTTGTCTATATTTATCTGTCTTTTTTATTGTCTTTGGGTTTCTCATGGCCTTCTTTGCATGAAAGATTCCCTTAATTTCAATCTCTTGCTTAAATATATCTGTTGTCCTTATTTTATTATCTTTTATTTCTCTGAGGAGACAACATTACCTTCTATTGAATACATAATTCAATACAATACATAATTCAATCTTCTCTTCAGCCTCACTGCCTATAGGGTACTACTGACATATCTTGTTAGTCTGCTGGTTTTATTTGCTATCTCAAGTTAAAGTTTTAATTTTGTAAGAAGAAATTTGTGATCTGAGCGCAGTCAGCACTAGGCCTTTTTTTATTTCTTGATCAAATAGCACTTCTATGGCCATCTATTTTTCCCTTGAAGTTATTAGAATTAGTTATTAGCATTTGTTTGACTGTATTTCTGGAATATTGCAGATTCATAAAAAATTGAGTTAAAAATCTAATACAGGTAGTCCTTGACTTACAATCATTCATTTAGTGACAATTTACAGTTATAATGGCACTGAAAACTGACTTATGATGTTTTTTACACTTAATGACCACTGCAGCATCCCCATGGTCACATGATCAAAATTTGGTTGTTTGGCAACTGTTTGGCAACTGCATTTCTGACAGTTGCATTGTCCCAGAGTCATGTGATTACCATTTGTGACCTTTCCAGTTGCCTGACACGTAAAGTCAATGGGGGAAGCCAGATTCACTTAACAAACACACGATTAACTTAACATCTGCAGTGATTCGCTTAACAATCATGGCAAAACTGTTGTAAAATGGGACACAACTTATTTAACAACTGTCTTATTAAGCAACAGAAATTTGGAACTCAATTGTGGTCATAAGTCAAGGAGTGTCTGTAATAATAAACCACCATTTTTTTTCATGGGGATATAGAAACAATCATTTAAAACGCAAAGCAAGTTCACAATCATGTTATATGTTTAAGCAATTAATGCACAAACCTCTAGGAAAATCGACCTCAATATCAAGATCTGGCTCATATGGGACATCAGGCAAGCTTATCTGTGTTTCTGTCACAGAATTAAGCAATTCTGTCTCAGTTATTATATCTATAACTGAATAAAGACAAATATGTTACCATCCTTTTTGGTATAATCCATGCAAAGGTGATTTAGAGTAATAAGACAGCAAAAGCAGGCAAACATACAAAAATATCTGATATAAACTGGTCTTTATATATTAAAGTGATATGTAATATTTAAGGAAAGAAAAAAGTCTATTAATTCAAGAATCACTGCATTTCAAAAGAGTGAAAAAGGCAACAAGGCTGTTGAAAATTAGATGAAGTGATATATTTGGACCACTACATAATTCAAAGTCACAAAGCAGAAATTAGTAACACAATGCCCACAGGCACCATGATATATATTATCCTTTTCTCAGACATTGTCAGTGAGATACCAAAACCAAATTAAAAATGAATTTCAGAACTTTAAGATTTTGTTCATTGTACAAATACCTATACCCATTTCTTTCTCTCTCTCATTTTATGTGTGTGCATTTTGGTAATAGTACTACACAGCTACTACAGTACTCTCATGAAATACCGAAGTTTTGCAAAACAAAGATACACCCATATAGAAATTCAAATTTGTGGAATGTGTACTTTCATATCCAGAAGTACATGCCCAAATACAAGAAATTACACTTTCAGGAGGAAATACTACCTGAATTTTCCTTTGCTAAGAATGGGAATGTATCCAGCTGCATACTTCTACAAGAACAGATCCTTATTGATTGGATGGAGAGGACTGCTATTAGTAATGCTGAGTCATTTCTTCCAGAAAAAGGTGGAAAGGAACAAAATTATCAATACTGTCCTAACTGAGTTTGTTTGGGTTCCAATGGTTGCACAGGATTTGTTTTCTGCTAGGTTTAAGTGTATTGTGCCATGCGTTTGTGAACTGTTGTTTCCCTAATGTACAGGTCTGTACATGTCTCACTACATTTTCACTGCATATATAACATTATTCTGCTCGTATCACAACAGACAGAGAAGAAATGAACAACAAACGAAGCAATGTTGTCATTTCATACCTTTCAGGGATACCGGAAAAGCTCAAGAGGATTTTCAACAAACACAACATAAGTGCATACTTTAAACCCAGAAATACATTAAGACAAGAAGCTTGTCACCCAAAAGATAAAACATCCAGACACAAAGAGAGCAATGTTATATATGCAGTGCAACGGAATGAAACATGTGCAGACTTGTACATTGGGGACACTAAAGAACCACTTCACAAATACATGGCACAACACAGGAGAACAAAGACAGTATTCAGAAGTACATCTGCATCCAAAAGACAAGGATCACTCTTTTCAAGACAGCAAGGTTTATATTGTGAACAGAGAATGACTACTAATTTGAACGATGAGTCAAGGACTCCATCTATACTAAAATTAACAGACCTCCCTCAACAGAGGGGGAGTGATACGCCACCATCTATCTCCTGTTTACAATGCAGTACTTTCAGTAAGAAGGTTCCACACACACTTGCCCTCTGATTCAGGTGACTCTGGGGATACAGATAAACCCCTAAGGCAGTGGTTCTCAACCTGTGGGTCGGGACCCCATTTGGGGTCAAACGACCATTTCACGAGGGTCGCCAAACAACGCAGTCCGCCATTTTTTTCCCCCTTTCCTTAGCTGTGCTACTCCCTTTTATTCTATTGGCTTTTGAAAGCCAATAGAACAGACTCTCTTGAATAGAGTCTAATTCTATTGGCTTTCAAAAGCCAATAGGAATTGTCCAGGCTGTCTCTGCCCTGCTGGGCCCGCCAAAAGTCCCATTCTGCAAACAGTGCTGCACCAGTTGAGTAGTCCTCGACTTACGACCGGTTGAGTAGTCCCCGACTTACGACCGGTTGGGGGTCGCGGCATTAAAAAGGTTGAGAACCACTGCCCTATGGGGTTTATCTGCAAAGAATATAAATCCTTTCATCCCCACCAGTTAAATAGAACTGAAGTAGCTTCTTGGATTAGAAGCGAAACATTTTCAAAGGAGAAAAAAAACAAGTCCAGTTGAATTTTGAAAAAAAGAAGCACTTTTGTGATAATCCACATTCATACAATACTCATTCAAGTCTTGACTCCATCTACTGATTTACCACACTCACCTCTTAAATATCCAATTCTACAATGTTCAACTAATTTGTATGTTTTCTTGACATATTCAGTTCTCATTTCTCTATAACAATGAGGGCAGAGGCACACTCCTATGCCCAATCATTTTGGCCTCTTCTGAGGAACATAAACTCCTTAGAAGAAACCACATACTACTCACCACTCTTCTCCTATCCATCTTATCTTTGATAAACATGTTAGTAGGTAGTTTTTCATTACTATGTGTAACATTTTCATTTTGTGTTCTGAAACATAACTACCTTGATCTTTCAGACAGTCACTTTCAGATCCATAACCTTTATACAATTTACCTAACATTTGCTATAGATCAATCTCAGTCTGGTGTCATACCAAAAAGTATGCACAAATTCATATTCCTAATAAACACGTCTCTAATGTTAAGACAAGTATTCATTATTTATTTATTATGGATTTATTATACATCCTTGTCTTATACTGTGCTCATTGTTGAATAATATACTAATCATCCAATTTATGCTCATACATGCTATACTTCTATCCTGTACCACTCTTACTGTATTTAGCAACTTGCTTATAATTCCATATTCATGCTAAACATTCCATAATTTCAGCCTCTTCACTTTATCACATGGTTTCTGTAAATCAAATCTTTTCCATACCTGGTTCATATTTTCATTCCTTGAGTCACTCTAGTTTTATTCTACTTTCTTTCGTGTATTTCCTTTTCCTGGTACTGCAATTGCAGAAATTACTGTGTACTGTGCTAGTAATTGATACAAAGATTATACTGTTTTATGTAAGTAAATTCTCAAAGATGGACAAAGTATGACAGAAAAACTAACAACGTAATCTATAGACCACTGATATTGGCAAAACAAAAATTAAAGACATACTTTTGAGCTCTGCGGGTTCTACATGCTCTTTTTTTTCAGAAATATCTTCTGTTACATTCAATAAATTTGAAGTCTCTTCAGGACTGGGGGGATTTTTATTTTTTAGTTCTACTATTGCTTCAAGTATCTTCTCACTGCTATCCAGCGTAGTAGGTAGAAAAACTGGAACTGGAATCTAGAATATAAATCATAATATTGTAACTTTGTTAAGTGGTTCATTATGAAATAAAATACAGAGAAGAACTGGATAAAGCCCTTGTAGCATTTAATAATGTTTAATAATATCAATGTTATTGCATGTACCTCTGAACTGATGGGATATGGGCCATGGTATTTTGATATGAAAAGTGCCCTCTGAATCTCAGCCTACTTACAATAGCATAAACATGCATGGGTTCAAACATTAGTTATGCTTGTGGCATACTGGCCCTAATCAATACCATCTAAATAAGCAGGGAATGCTACCTCTGGCATGACACTTAGGCTGATTGCTTAGACTACATCTTCCCTGAATTTATAAAAAATAGAATGAAAGTATTGTGAAAGCCTCAATTAACCAAAGTTCTGATTGACATTTAAGATATAGACAGATCTAGTTATGATTTAGAATGAGAAGTAGAAGAGAAATAACGATAATATATTAACAAATTAAATGAATGGAAGAAAAATAGATCTGTTGTGAGTCTATGAAACTAACAGAAAAGGGATTGATATAGTGCATATCTGTACTAATAGTCTAAGTGGTGGTGTGGTTGATGAGGAGTGCAGATAAGTGAAGATGCAGGCTTAACTATGAATTAAATGGCTAATATGTATATCAGAAAATATGAACTGATGTCATCTAGCTTGTTGCAGGCATATATAGCAGTAGCCATAGCACTTAGATTTATATACCGCTTCATAGTGCTTTCAGCATTCTCTGAGAGGTTTACAAATGTCAGCTTATCTGGGTCCTCATTTTACCAAACTCAGAAATCAACCTTGAGCTGAGTCTTTCTTTCCCACTATGCATTAGATCAGTGTTTCTCAACCTTAGCAACTTGAAGAGGTATGGACTTCAACTCCCAGAATTCCCCAGCACAGCTGGCTGGGGAATTCTGGGAGTTGAAGTCCATACCTCTTCAAGTTGCCAAGATTGAGAAACACTGCATTAGATCATAATATGCAGCTAACACTAATGGACAGTTCTTATTTTCATATAAGGCCGTGATGGCACAGTGGTTGGAATGCAGTATTGCAGACAGGGCTAGCCTACAATACTGCATTTTAACCACTGCGCCACCACGGCTCTTATATGAAAATAGGAATCTGTCCATTAGTGTTAGCTGCATATTATGGTCTAATCTAATGCATAGTGGTAAAGGAAGAATCAGATATGAACTTTTGGGGAAAAGCCATAAAGGGTATAAGAATTTTGAATATTGTTTAAGAACACAAGGGTGGATGGCATAACTGAAGACATATTAAATATAAGTAAATATTAAAATACTGGATGTATTTTAGAGAAAATAAATTGGTTTAAAGTAAAAATCCTAATTCTTCTAAACAATATTCTTGTTTGGAATATAAATAGCAAGATACTTACAGGAGATAAAAGTTCCATGTTACATTTTTTCTTTTTAATTAATTTTCCCCCTTTAGATCACATACATCACATAAAGCCTTAGAGTGAGGCTTTAATTGGTCCTCTCCATATTTTACAAGTCTTTTACCAACAGCTTATTTAGAAGAAGTTGTTGCATCAAGTTTATAATGACTTGACAATAAACATCTTCAGCTGACCTAGAGTGCAAACATCTAAATTTCTTACAAAACTTTAGCCCTGATCACCATTTCATCCCTGGGATAGAGTTCTCTTGGACTTGCCTGCTGTCCTAGTACCTATTTTGTTTTACCAGATTTTACCTTCTGTAGCCTAGCTCTTTCCCCCTTTCCCCTCTATGTTGGGGAATAGACCTGAAGCCAAGATAAATCACACTGGGACAGGATTAATTCCTCCCAAGCATTTCCTCATGCAAGGAAGCAAGAAATGGTGATATGGTGAATTCCGGTAGAATCTATCTTCAAGAGAGAGAAAAATGTAATTCAAATGTAGACTGAAACCTAGCTTACTGGAACAGGAACCGTTGTAGGAACTGGAACATTTTGACTATACATATGCATAGGAGCAGGTACATATACTGGTACAGGAACAGGCACAGGGATGTATTCTTTTTTCCAGTCATCATCTACAATGAAAGACAATTTGTAATGTTACTTGCCACCACTACATACATCCCATAAAGCGGCCCAACCATAATCGTATACTCTGACAAAACGCCATACATGAGAACAGTTCCTTCTATTATATAAATACCTGTCTGACAAGATTTTGTTTGCATGTGCGGTTTACAGAAGGTAGCCTTTGTCATCGTTAGCGGTTTGCAGAGAACTGCTTTGTTCTTCATTTCTTTATTTGGTGTAGGGGAAGGAGGTGGGGCTGATCCCTATGGATTTAAAAAAAATTGTTAAATTTTAAAAAATGTAAATGATAAAATAAAGTACATTTCAACTTCTTGTTCAGAGGCAAATTCATCCGAGAAAAAGAATTCTGTAAAAGAAAGGAGAAAACTTATCTAAATCCTTAGCTAACTCTTCAAAAATTAAATACCTTAATTTATCCTCTTCATGGAGAATGATAGTTTTGGCTTCTAATCAAATTAGCTATTTAACATTATTACACAATTTATAGTTTTGTTACTATTTGCAACTTTATATTTGTATGCTATCTCAACAATTACACATTTATGATAATTATCACATAGAGCCATATAATACACCAGTTTACAATATTGAAAATACCTATGAAGAAATAACCTGTCATGTCTTGTCATACTTTTTAAACGTAAAGGATATGCATCCTAACTGACACAAAACAGTATACAATTCTCTATAGGCTATGAGGGATTTTGTTATCTTAGCTATGAATTTGAATACTTTATGATTTACTTACTGTGTTTTTTGTTCGGGGAGTTTGGCAATTTTGATCTACAAACAGAAGATAACAACCTTAACATAATTTGTTACTTACAATAATCTGAAGTTAACAAATGCCACAATACTTTATCCTAGTCATACTAGTTTTACTAGATTAACTTGTAAAAGATTAAGCAGTTAGATGTTTTCAAAACAATTAGCTTTCTAAGTGTGGGGAAAGTGGCATGCTCACCTTTCTTTTGGAAGAAAAATTGTGTAGCTAGATTGTTAATTATACTAACCAATTTCATCTGATGTGTGATAGCCTAGACCTCAGTAATCCTATCTCCTAGGTCAGGGGTCTGCAACGTTAAACACTCAAAGAGCCACTTGGACCTTTTCCCAGAGAAAAGAAAACACTGGGAGCTACAAAACTTGCGCGGAAGCACGAGGGAGGAGGAGCTTGATTGAAGAGTTTAATTAAGAAGAAATAGAGGCTGCTGTGCATGAGTTCTCTCTTTCTCTCTTCCTTTCCCTCTCTCTTTCCTCTCCCTCTCTCTTTCTCTTTCCTCTTTCTCTCCCTCTTTCTTCTCCCTCCTCTTTCTCTCCCCTCTTTCTCTCTCCCTCTTTCTCTTTTTCCTCTCCCTCTTTCGTCTCCCCCCTCTCTTTCTCTCTCTTCCCTCTCCCTCCCCTCTCTTTTTCTTTCTTTCTCTCCCTCTCTCTTTCTCTCCCTCTATCCAATCTTCTGCTCATCTGGCAAGCTGGTTTCAAGCTATTCTCCAACAGGCTGGTTCTCTCCTGCCCTTCCTGCTTCCTGCAGAGATGTAGCCAAGGCAGGAGCCCCACCCAATAAGCTTGTCAGCTCATCGGAAAATAGGGTGAGGCCACTCCCTTTTTTACACAAACACACACACACACACACACAGAGAGAGAGAGAGAGAGAGAGAGAGAGAGAGAGAGAGAGAGAGAGAGCGAGCAAGTGCCTCTCTCTGTCTCTACAAATGGCAGAAGAGGCTGGGAGCCGCAGGAGAAGGCTCAAAGAGCCACATGTGGCTCCCGAGCCGCAGGCTGCCAACCTGTGTCCTAGGTTGAAGTAAAATATGCCCTGTTCTCTGATATTAGGAAAGAGAAACTTATATGACTTGCCATTTTTTGAAATATTGAAAAAAATTAATGTACACAGTTGTTGGTAAAGAAACATACCATAATGTAAGTTTTCTGGCCCTTTTTGTGTTGCCATATTTGGTTCATTTTGTTGACAGTAGAAACGCAGAAGGCAATGCTGATCACAGAAGTGCTTCATTTCTCCTCTCCATTGTACTTTCTCTTTAAGAGTTCCTTGAATTTTACAGCAATCACACCTTGCAGCCTTAAACAAAACAATACTGTTAGCTAAAATGATTTGGAAAAAGAATTACTGCTACATAAATGCTTTAATGCAATATTGGTTTATGAAGTTCTCCAAGATTGAGTAATGCCTTATGCTTTCTTAGAAGACAGAAAATCTTCTGAGATTTGAGGCTTCTGGTAGTATACCCTTACCTATGAAAATCCTCTTTAATTCTGTAATATAGAAAAATATAAGCAGCAAAATAAGAACAAATTCAAAAGGGACATTAACCTCTGATACTCTTCTGAACAAAATTAAGTATACAAGAAAGGCTATTGTGTTTTCATTGATTGACAAGGAAAGCATTGGTAACGCTTGTAGAATAAAGCCTGTATGTTGTTATTGGGCTAAGAAATATCTTGAGGATCCAAATGGGTAAGAACAATTTCCCTTCTCTGAAACAGCTTACCCTCCAAAGCATGTATCACCCCCACTCTTCTGACCTCCCAGAAGCTGGTAAAAACATTATTCTTAAGAATAATTGAAGCAGCTTTCTTAAGAACAATGGGACATGTTGCCATTTGAGAAGCACAGACATCTTATTCAGAGAGGAAGTGTCTCTGCATTGCTATCTTCTCACTAGCAACTCAAATATTGGTATCCATTTAAATTGAAAGTGGACAAGCACAGTAAATATGCAGTCATGATCAGAAAAGACAGAGATGCAGTACAGGCTAGGAGACCTTTAAAAAAACCAACATCTGGCACGGAACAGATGGCATGGTCAGCACTAGGACAAATCATTGGATTAAAAAGAATGGAGCAAAGAAATGATTTCATTATTAATCTCTTAAGAAATGCAGCGAGACAACACTGAGGTCTTTAAAATCTAACTCTGATATTGGGATGCTTCTTTAGCTTAAAATCTGAGTCCATTTTAATACTAGAAAGTACAGTAAGGAAAGGGAAAAGTCAGAGAACATGTAGAACAATGGTTCTCAACCTGTGGGTCGGGACCCCGTTTGGGGTCGAACGACCATTTCACGGGGGTCGCCAAATAACACAGTCAGCCATTTTTCCCCCCCTGGAAGTGGAGGATTCGGTCCGTATGGGTGGGCTTCCGGTAGACCTTGGTGTTCAAAGTTCCATCTAAGGAACGTTGGACCAATACGTCCAAAAAGGCTATCGAGCCCCGGATCTCCTCCTCCACCGTAAATTTAATGTCCGGATATATTGAGTTTAACACTCCCATAATACTCTGGGGTGCCAGAGTAATTATGTAGGCGAGACCTCAAAAAGACTTAAGACTCGTCTACATGAGCAGAGGTTGGCTATTAGACGAGGCGAACAACATTCGCAGATTTGGGCCCATGTAGCAGAATACGACCATTGCTTTGACTTTGAGAATGCCCAAATCTTGGCCAACGACACGACAAAAGGAGGTCGCCTACTGAAAGAGGCATGGTTTTCAGGAACAGAGTCCATCAATCGGCGCGTAGACTTGTGTGCAGCGCACCAAGCTCTGAAAATGTGGAGTGCCAGCAACCGTACTAACATGTGGGGGGGACCCAATCAAAAAACTTGTAATCAAAATACCACCCGGCCCCCCTCCCGGCGTAATTACACCAATGGAGCCTCTGTTGACAGCTCCTCCCTCCCGGATCGACAACAGACTAACTCCAGCGGACAACTGCGGCTAGGTTTGCCACGATCCGCCGGGAGCAGACTCTTTTTGGGACGGAATGGAGATGGAGTGGGGCTTGAGGAACCGGAAGGAAAACGGAATATAATAAAGTCTAACGAGGACGATGAGAACGAGGATGAATCCCCCTTTGAGGATACTACCAGGCACATTATGATAACCCGGTCGCAGTCGAGCAGAGGAAGGCACCCCCCTCTGACATTCTCAACACAAAGCTGCGGAGTGAAACAGCGACTGCAATTAAAGGGGAAGAGCCCCGTACGGAGTGAGAATGGAGAATTGGGGATGAGTGGGAATGGTGCTTACCGACAATGGACGGAACAACAAGGCACTGACAATGGGACAATGGCAGAAAACATCTTGAGTGTGCGCAAGGGAGAGAGCGTGGAAACGAACAGTAGATCATTTAGGAGAACTCACGGGAAGGAGGAGGGGAGGAGGAATAGCATGGGTGGTGACTATGAGCCTGCGTTACAAACCCGAGGGATAGATAAACAAGATCAAAGTGGTCTTGGGGCTTGCAGGGATATTGGAAGCAATTTAAATAATTGCCCACCCCCGCTCCCTAAGGGAAGCCGTGTGTGGGATGGTGGGGAGTTATGAGCAGGGGAGGACAAAAAGATCCTGACCCCCAACTCTGAAACAGCTAACGGAGTAACGTATGACAGAATGCAAATTAGCAATGGAAAGAGGATAGATGCTGATGTGGGGCGTGCGCTTGAGACTCAACTCGATCAGCTGGGGCCGATGACACGCTCCAAGAGCCGGAAACAGGCATTAAACAACTGTATATAAGACTTCCCCCGGCGTTTGCCTTTTAACCCTGACGATGTCAAATGTATTTGACGAAAGCTTGGTGGATTAAAATTCTATTTTTGATAGATATTCTCTTGGTGATCATTATTTTGACAATATGAATACCCCCAAGAGTCGCATTTTTGTTTTTATTTCTAAATATATATATATATATATACATATACATATACATATACATATACATATACATATATATATATATATATATATATATATATATATATATATATATATATATATATATAAATGCACGAACACCAGGAAATTATAAAACTATAATTGGCTCCTTAAGGAAGCTTGGCTCTCAAACGAGGAGTCCATCAACTGGCATGTGGATCTATGTCCTGCACACATAACGTTAAGAGTATGGGCTATGGGTGATCGATCCCCCGGAAGAAAACAATTCAACATCGCAACGTGCCTTCGGGAGAGAGGGTTGATGGAGGAGAAGAGTCCCGAAAGTGCCCGTATAGGGAGTAGTCAGCAATTTAGCAATTTTCTGAATATGGAAGTACATGGTCACGCCCAATGGATGGAGGATCGTATTGACACCAAGGAACCAACTGCCGATGGATCGAGGGTCTCTCCAAGACTTGTGAGGAGTTTGGCAAGGACACGGTCTTGTACTGGCACCCGGATGCAGAATGATCATGAATGGAAAGATTGTAACATCACTCTCACCCCTCCACGACTAACTCCACCCACGATATTGCCTCAATGGTGTGCTCTCGCTTTGGGGATGTAGGAGAACTACGTGAGGACGAAGAGGCGATTACTTACAATCTTAGAGCCTCTGTATGCTCCCAGAAATACCTGAGAGGAATGATCCCCCGTGGAAATACACAAGGAGATGCAAATCAAGAACTAAAGGACTCTGTTTCCCTCCCCTTGAGGATGATCACGCACCCCCAAAGAACGGAGAAACGTATGAGCAGCGGAGAGGGGGTGACCCCTACAACGAGAACTCTGTATGGAGGGGAGGGCAACAGCCAACTTGAGGGTGTTACGAACTCCGGGGAGGCCGTTAAAAACGTTCCCATTGATGAGAAAACGAAAGGGAAAGTTAGCGGAGCAGCACTGGAGAACGAGAGTCATGATGATACAACCACAATGGAAAAACAATGAGGATGTAGTTGTGAAAAAGGACCATAGAAAGAGGGAAGGTGGGAGGAGAACGAGGATGGGGAGTGCTAGGAAAGAAGGTGAGGAGAACAAACAACAAAAACACGGGCAACGTATATTTGATCATATGAAACTAAGGGGCCCCCTCGGCTTACGGTCACATGAGGAGGGAAAGGGTAGTGATATTGGTACAAGCAAGGAAAGTAAGGAAATTACGGCTAGCAATACGGAAATTACGATCAAAATGCAGGTGGATTGGCTGGGAGCTGTAACAAGGTCTAGGAGCCGGGCGCAAAGAGCGCCAAATTTATAAATAGCTTCCCCCATCGACTGGAAGTTACCCTGACGATGCTGGCAGCTGCCAGCAAAAGCTTGGTATTTTATCCTATTAAAATTTTTTATAGTTTTATAATTTCCTGGTGTTCGTGCATTTTTTGCTAGTTAACATATATATATATATATATATATATATATATATATATATAATTATATATTATATATATATATACCGTATATGCTGGCGTAGAAGGCGACTTCCGCAAGCATTAAAATTGGCGCCAAAGATGGGGGTCGTCTTATACGCCGAGTCGTCTTATACGCTGGAAATACTGGTAGTTTCCGGCGTGTAAGACGACGTTCTAGGAATGCAACTCGGCACCAAAGACGGGGGTCGTCTTATACTCCGACATATATATATATATATATATATATATATATATATATATATATATATACACACACACTCATAATATTATAGAAGAAATCACAAATAATTTAGATATGTACTTAGCAGCCATTATAAAAGAAGGTTGTTAAATACTGCAATACCTTATAGTACCAGTCTTGAAATTTTCTGCAACACTCTTCACTACAGAAATCTCTTACTACTCCATCAAGTTCCTTTGATGCTCCCTTTTTACAGAGTTGAGAACAATAATTGCAAGTAACACAGCGTAATCCTAACCGTCTTGCAAAATCTTGTTTATATAGCAGCTTGCAACCTGGAAAAAAGGAAGCAGCATAGTTGATTTGCTGAAACTATGTGCCACTGCAAATCTGTTTCGTAGTAATTTTTGCATTTTGTTACATAACTTTTACAAGGTTGTTTAGCAAAATGATACCATTTTTGAGAAAGAATTTTAGCCACTCTCCTAGTCAATAATTATCACCCTTTTGGTTTTTTATATATAGTTTACACATTCAACTTTAGATTCAATTACAGGTAGTGCTTGAATTACAACTGGTTGCTTAGTGACCATATGAAGTTACAACAGACCTTACTGGGACTACGTACTACCTGGATTCAAAGTTCTAATGGTCATTTGAGGTGTCTCCGGTCACTATTGTGTTTTATGATAGTTTTGCTGAAAACTGGCGTTTACTTCAGTTTTTGGAAAAACTAGCCCATATTGAATCATTGGTTCACTTAATGGTGATTGCATTCACTTAACAACTGCTGCAAAAAGATATGATAAATTCAGTCAGCCACAAGCCTGCCCCTTATAGTCATTACTCAAGGACTTCCTGTTCTGTACTTATACACTCACTTGTATCCAGGTAAAAAGTAAAAAGTGTGCTGTGGATATTTTCAGTTATATATTTATTTTGAACCCCTATAAAAAGCTATTTGGCTCCAAATCAGGGGTGTCAAACTCAATTTCATTGAGGGCCATATCAGCATTGCGGTTACCCTCAGGGGGCGGGGTGGGTGTGGCCTACAGGGTGGGCGTGGCCAGCTCTACATCGTTCGTGTCAAGGGTGCCTGTGAGGGCAAGGGCAAGAATGGGATAGATCTGAGGGTCTCTGGCAGAAGGGGATGGGACCAGGGCAAGTGCCAAGGCATGGTCCACTGGAGGAGCCTCACTGTTCCTCTTAGGCCATACGGTGGAGGGCGGGGCTTATGGAGCTAAGACTGAATGTGTTTCAGCATAGATGGCTACCACAAAATTGTACATTGGCTCCCGGATGGCCTGGACCAGGGCCAAGGCAGAGGGGGCCGTTCGCTCACTGTTTCCAGGATGGCTTCATCGGCCACATGAAACCACTTTGCAGGCTGCATCCGGCCCCTGGGCCTTGTGTTTGACATGTCTGCTCTAAATGAACACCAATGGAAACAAAGTCTAGCACTGTTACAAGAAACAAAATATTGTAGTATTTTTCATGTACAAATAGTTCTATTGTTTCCAGTGAGATTGCAGTCAGTCTTTTTTTTTTTTACTCAATCTATTGATGATATAGCAAAAGAGGAAAAACACCCACCCAAATGGAATTGGAAAGGTATTCAAGATTGTTTCATTTTATAAGCAGTTATAGACTTAAATCAGGATTTTCTAAGTATACAATTACCCTGGTTTGAAATAAGAACTTAAGGAAATCTCATTTCTACCCATTGCATTGTAATGCAGGAACATAAGGTGATAAAATAGTCTCAGAGCAGTATAGAATATATGAACTATTAAATCACTATATACAGCCCCAGATCCAATAGAAAACAGAAATAATGGGTAGCAACATGAGGTTGTTGCAAATTATGTACAAAATCTGATGTTTTATGAATGCAAACTCTCATTTCTCCTTTGGACCATAGAAACATAACTTATGCAAAGGGGGTCCACTGATTTCCCATAAATTACACTTATTCTAGGTCAGTGGTGGCAAACCTATGGCAAGAATGCCAGAGGCGGCACTCAGAACCCTCTCTGTGGGCACGCATGCTGTTGCCCCAGCCCCGCCACCCCCCGTGGCCCGCTCCTCACCAGCAGTCCCCCCGGAGAGTTGCCCCGGGCACAGCCTGTGCAGAGCAGCGCAGCCAAAGACATGGCAGCCGGGCAGCGGGGATAAGACTCTACCCTCACGCCCCATCGCGTACAGATGATGCTGCGGTGTGCGGGCAGGGGGCGTGGCCACCATGATGCTGCTGGGCCACCTGGGCAATCTGCTGTGGTGGGCTGTGGAGGTGGTGGGTGCCCTGCAGGCATGAGATGCAGGGACGGGACAGGGGTGAGGCGGTTTTTGGGCACTCAGTCTCTAAAAGGTTAGCCATCACTGCTCTAGGTGGTTATAATTGTTTATAAACAATGACTTTATAAACTGTCTAAAGCTACTTTTCCTGTCCCACCATGGCCCTGTGCATGTGAGTATAGGGCATCTCAAGTATGCTTCTGTTGCCTATAACAGTGACTGCATTAAAAATGTATATGCAAAATAAATACAGATTAGGGCAGTGATGGTGAACCTTTTAGAGACCGAGTGCCCAAACTACAACCCAAAACCCACTTATGTATCGCTGGGTGCCGGGTGGGTGTGGCCCACTCGGCGGGCGCAGCTACAGTGGGCATAGCCATTGGATGGGTGTGGCTGCAATAGTCATGGCAGACTGCGTGGGCATGGCCTGGGTGGGCGTGGCCACCTTGATATTGCTTATGGGAAGGGACACCTGTGGAAGCCGGGCAGGGTTGGGGGAGATCCAGGGGGTCTCTGTGGGTGGGATGATGGGCTCCCCAATGGCCCCTCCAGGCCAGTGATGGCGAACTTTTAGAGACCATCTGTGCTGGGGCAATGGTGCGTGCCCACAGAGAGGGCTCCGCGTGCCACCTCTGGCATGTGTGCCATAGGTTCGCCACCACTGGATTAGGGAGTCACTTCATTATGAGTATACAGAACATAGAATCACGGGGCTGGAAAGAACCTCATAGGCCTTGTAGTCCAATTCCCTGCTCAAAGCAGAAGACCTTATACCAGGGGTCCTCAACCTCCGGTCCATGGATCGGTACTCGGCCACGGCATGTCAACAACCGGGCTGCACAAACAAGCAAAGCACCATCTGCGGGATACAGGCAGCACACAAAACCACGCCTCCTCAGGTCCGTAGAAAAACCTTTCTCCATGTAACCAGTCCCTGGTGCCCCAAAGGTTGGGGACCTCTGCCTTATACCATCCCAGTCAAATAATTATCCAATCTATTTTTGAAAACCTCCAGTGATGAAGCACCCACAGCTCCAGGAGGCAAGCTATTCCAATGATTAATTCTTCTCACTGTCAGAAAATTTCTCCTTACTTCTAGAGTGGATCTCTTTTACAAGCTTTCACCCATTGCTTCTTGTCCTGTCCTCTGGTGTTTTGGAGAATAAGTCAACCCCTCTTCTCTGTGACAGCATGTCTAATATTGGAAGACAGTTATCATGTTCCCCCTCCCCCCAATCCTTCTCTTTATTAGCAATAGCACACTTATATATTGCTACACAATATTTTACAGCCCTCTCTTAGGCTAGCTCACTCAACCATTTATCACACAATTCCTCTTTGTTGCTCTACTCTGCATACTTTCTAGGATCTCAGCATCTTTTTAGTATAACGGTGACCCAGAAATGTACATAGTATTCCAGTGTGGCTTCATTAGTACATATGAGGAAGCAGCTGACAATACTGACTTCAATTTAAAATAAATGACATTTCATCCCTTACACATGAACTGACTCTAGACACTTACTTGCTAATATTGCTGGATTCTTGTGGTTATGGAATAGGTTAAGACAATCTGAGACAGTTTCTATTTTAAATAACCTGTTTTGTCATTATTAATTTTTGGTTTTACTTTATACTGGGTTTTGTGTTTTTATTACTGTATACTGCCATTGAGGTGCATGGTTCACCAATATAGAAGTTTAATAAATAATTCTGCACAACTCATTTTTTGTTTCCTTATTATACTTCTACACGACTAAACTGGCAATCATATATTCAACATACCTTCACTACAGAATGGTCTCTTGATACCAGAAAATTTTACCGTTTCATGCAAAGTCTTCTCCTCTTGACAGTATTCACAGTATGTTACTATACAGTGTAACTTCTTGTAGTCATCAGAACAAATTCTACTGCAAAACTGGTACACTTTGTTCTAGTTAAAGAAACAGAAAAGCCACAATAGACAATCTGGTAAGTAACAAGGCTTCAAATGTAATGCAGATTTTGCATAGATAGCAAAATTATAGAGAATAAGGAAGATGACCTGCACAAGAATGTTACCACAATCTTGTAGTAAGATTTATATCAGCCCCACCAAGTAGAAATCAACTCTATAGAAAGACTATGACTTTTTTTTATTGAGAGTTGCTATAACAAGAGAACTTCCTAAGTTTCCCTTCCCTTTGTGAACTAGGGAGGTCCCTTTCTGAGCTGCTTCTGCATATTTTTTGCTTGTTTTTCTCTTCATTGCTTTGATAATGGATCTCACTTATCTCCATCACGTTTGTCTTCCTTACTCTCAACAAAAATATTTCATTTTAACTAAAGAAAAGAATTAGCTATTTACCTGTAATTGTTTCATTTTGACAGATCATTTGTGAAATCACACCAATAGACTTGGTACCTATGTTGAATAAGTTCAAACCTTACAGAGCTTAAGAACTTTGGTGGGAACCTGCTTCTCGACCTATAATAAATGTTCCTGGTTGTAGCCTGTGTTCAGATTCCTGAGTCTGGCAACCAAGTGCAAAACAAATCAAAATAAAGCTGCAGGACAAGAGAGGAAAGATGGAGAATGAGAAGGAAAAAAATATGGTTACCAGTGAATAACCAGTATTTCTTCATGACATCTGTAATTCACGAAAGGAGGGAATAGTAGTAGATGGGAACTTTCAGGCAGCAATGGATAATAGAATCATTCTATTGAAGGCAGCTCCTCCTGCTGTGGTTAAAGATCATATTGGAGATGCCAAATAAGTATTTTTGGCCACACTTAAATTTTCTAAGTGCCTTCTTCAGTAAAAGAAAAATAATAGGAAAAAAGATCTGGATGCAAAGAATCAACTCACAGAGACTAGATTTTCCTATATTCTTGAAGAAATGCCAACCAAAAAGCCATTTTGTATGCAGCCATCTGAACTGAAAAGTAATTATTAATTTGCATGAGAAAGCCACAATATTGCAAGAAACAAAGAAAAAAATCCACATAACTAGTGGAGGTAGTGAAAATAGAAAAGGAATATTAAATGCATTCAGTATACTAACAAGTGATACAAGAAAACTGAATTACTCTGATGAGGACAATAGTCTACGATAGAACAAGGTAAACCCATAGTGAGAAGACAAAGTCCAATCCTTTGTCTTCAGAAAAAAAAATTGCAGATGTAGCACATCAAATTATTTGCTCTGACATCCCAAATGTCATCTGCAAAAAAGTTAAATTCTCAAAATTAACACACAGCTGACAAATACTTGAAATGAATTGTCTGCAGTTAAACTAAAGCAAACCAATGGACCCATTGGGAGAGGCTGATCACATGCTGGATTGGCACTCAGTGTCAGTCTTATTCTCAGCAGTTTGATGTAAAATCTCTTCAATCTGGGAAAGAGGAGGAGGCAAGAGCAGTGGAAAACAGAAGTCTAAAATGATGTGCAGTACCAAGGATACTATTAAACAAGGTATCTAGCAGCAGACTTAAAACTGATTTCCTGTACCTTGTCTATCATGCTGAACAAACCATTCCATCAAATGAAATGGTTTTGATTTTGCCTTCATTCTATCAGACCAGAGCATCAAGCATTAAGAGAGATGGTCAGTGCTTTAAACCATAGGCATTGCAGTGTGCCTAATTATATTGATGATCTCCCCCCCCCCTTTAACAGTATATTAGTGGCTTCTGTGCCAAAGGTCTTTACTAACAACCTACTATTATCTGGCAAATGGGTGAAGAAAAACATCTTTTCCCAAAGGAAATAATGATATTTGTGCAAACTTGTTAATTAAAGGTCCTCAAAGAAATAATTCTTCTATTACTTATTCACTAAGTCAAATGCTGCCTATACTGACACATAGACTAAACATGACTTTTGTGTCTGAATTGAAAGGGGATCCTGGAACAGGAGAGACGTTTGTCATCCAGTACAAATTCTCAACATGGTACATGGAACTATTGTAGCAACTGCATAAGAGCACCTGAGTCCAAAGACAAGTGCCCTGGCACATCTATACATACCACTGCCAAGTTACAATCAATCTTGCAAATTACATTAAGACATTGGGCACTGTGTCTTTTATGTGGGAAATTAAATGCCTTTAGTTCTTGCCAACAAAGATTCTCCAAGAAGAAAGGTAATTTGCCTAGAAGTGCTTGCAGAATTTTACAAAATGGTCCTCTCCTTAAATAATATTCCTGTTTAATGAGGGATGTTTACTACTGCAGCTTTGGTATTTCTGAACATTAGCAACATCTGTTTTACAAACTAACATCAGGATGCAGATTATTCTCACGTGTACTTTGCTACCCTGGACCATACCAGAGGTGCTATTGTAAGCTTGAACCAGTGCCTGGTATCCATCAAGCCTCTAGATGAGACAAAATAAGCCCATAATAAATCTCTCCAAAATTGAGAAGCTGTTCATCAATAAATATTAAAAGTATCATTCTCAGCAGTTATTTTGGACAAAGTTGTGTTTTCTTTGAAGCAGGTGGTGTATGACTTTTTTTTTTAAAGACATGTATTGTATAGCAAGAACATCTAGCACTGCTTTGCTAGAATGAATCTGTCCATCTGATGAGAAAAAGCTTTGGAACGCCTGTTAGAAAACTCTCCTCTAAATGAAGAATGGTAAGGAGGAAATCAGTAAGATGATAAATATTCACTGTCGCCCCATACTTTACAACATTTTATTTCCAGATTTCATAAAATGTCCTCTTCTAAAATTTTTAGAAGGCTATTACTTTTATAAGGTTTTATTTAAGACAAATGGCTATCCAGTCTCTTCTTAAAAACTTCCAGTGTTGGAGCATTCACAGCTTCTGGAAGCAAGCTACTCCACTGATTAATTGTTCTAACTGTCAGGAAATTTCTCCTTACTTCTAGATTGCTTCTCTCTTTGATTAGTTTCCATCCATTGCCTCTTATCTTGCCTTCAGGTACTCTGGAGAATAGCTTGACTCCCTCTTCTTTGTGGCAACCCCTGAGATATTGGAACACTGCTATCATGTCACCCGTCCTTCTATTCATTAAACTAGACATACCCAATTCCAGCAACCATTCCTTATATGTTTTAGCCTCCAGTCCCCTAATCATCTTTGTTGCTCTTCTCTGTACTCTTTCTAGAGTCTCAACATCTTTTTTACATCATGGTGACCAAAACTGGATGCAGTATTCCACGTGTGGCCTTACCGAGGTATTAACACTTCATGTGATCTTGATTCTATCCCTCTGTTAATGCAGCCTAGCACTGTGTTGGCTTTTTTGGCAGCTGCAGCACACTGCTGGCTCATATTTAAGTGATTGTCCACTAGGACTCCAAGATCCCTCTCACAATTGCTACTACTGAGCAAGGTACCACCTATACTGTACCTGTGCATTTGGTTTTTCTTGCCTAAATGTAGAACCTTACTTTTTTCATCATTGAATTTAATTTTGTTACATAGCGCCCAATGTTCAGGTCTGTCAGTATCCTTCTGTACTTTAACCTATCTTCTAGAGTGTTGGCTATTCCTGCCAGCTTGATGTCGTCTGCAAATTTGATAAGTTCCTCATGTATCTCCTCATCCAAATCATTGATGAAGATGTTGAAGATCACTGGGCCCAGAACAGAGCCCTGGGGCACCCCACTATACACTTCCCTCCATGTAGATGCAATTCCATTGAGGACCATACGCTGAGTACAGCTGGTCAGCCAGCTACGAATCCATCTGATGGTGATGCTGTCTAACCCACATTTTTCTATCTTATCAAGTAATAGGTTGTGGTCTACTTTACCAAATGCCTTACTGAAGTCCAAGTAAATTAAATCCACAGCATTCCTCTGGTCCACTAATTTTGACACTTGGTCAAAGAATGCAAATAAGATTTGTCTGGCATGGCTTTTGGTAATGACTTTGTTTGTCTCTAGGTGTTCGCTAATTTGTTGCTTGATTATTTTTTTCCAGAATCTTCCCAGGTATTGAGGTCAGCTGATAGGTCTGTAATTTCCTGGATCCATTTTTTTTCTTTTTTTGAAGATGAGGACTACATCAGCTCTTTTCCAGTAGTCTGGTAGTTCCCCAGTGCTCCAGGATCTTTGAAAGATATAGTTCAGTGGTTCTGAGATCACATCTGCCAGTTCCTTCAGAACCTTGGAGTGTAATCCATCTGGTTCTGTGATTTGAACTCATCTAGGGTAGACAGGTGCTCACTTATCATTTTCTTGCCTATTTTAACTTGTGTTTCTAATCTGTTTTTTATGGTACTGTTTTTGATAGGTTGGACTGTTTTTTCTCTTTGTGCAAAAAACAACTTAAATAGTTCTATTTTCTCCCTGTTGCTTGTCACCTTCTTGCCACTTTCTCCCACTAATGGACCAATCATTTCCTTAACTTTTTTGTTGTTTGCATGTTGAAAGAAGCTTTTTTTTGCTATTTTTGACTTTTGTCACAAGCCTTAGTTCATTTTGAGCCTTAGCTTTCTTCACTTCATCTTTGCAGGCTTGGGCTATTTGCTGATATTCTGCCTTAGTTATGTGCCCATCTTTCCACTTTTCATACTTGTCTTTTTATCTTTCAATTGATCAGAGAGTTCTTTATGCAGCCATGCTGGTTTCTTTGGAGAGATGTTATTTTTCTTCTTCATTGGTATTGTGCTAGACTCAGCTTTTATAATCTCACTTTTCAAAATTTCCCAAGCTTCTTGAGTTGTTTCCCCCTGGAGGATTCTCATCGATGGAATCCTTCCCAAGCTCTCTCTAAGTTTATTGAAATTAGCTCTCTTAAAGTCCAAGACTCTGGTTTGACTGTGTCCTATTGCTTGTGCCTGCATAATGTTGAATTCCAATATTGCATGATCACTTCCTCCCAAGATTCCTTTGCCTTCAATACCTTCTATCATTTCATCTCTGTTAGTGAGAATTAGGTCCAATATGGCTGATCCCCTAGTTCCTTTCTCTACCTTTTGGCAGACAATGTTGTCTGTTAGGTTTGTCAGGAATCTGTTTGATCTTCCACTTGGTGCAGTTTGTCTCCCAGTTGATTTCAGGGTAATTAAAGTCCCCCATTACTATTGTGATGTGCTTCCTACATACCTTAGTTAGCTGACTAGCAAAAAGTTCATCTATTTCCTCTGCTTGGTTGGGTGGCCTATGGTATATACCTATCACACTGTCATTCCCCCCCCCTTTTATATTGACCCAAATGCATTCGAGACAGTTTTCATCATTGTTGTGCTCTATTTCTGTAGAGATGTAGTTATTTCTTATATAGAGAACAAATCTACCTCCTCTTTTATTTGGTCTGTTTTTTTAAAATAATTTAAATCCCTCTAGCTGCGTGTTCCATTTGTGGGTTTCATCCCACCAAGTTTCCGTAATGAATGACTTCTGTAACTTGACTTCCCACTATCCATCTTTAGGAGTTTGGTTTGATACTGCTGTTGTTGTTGATACGTTTGATTTATTTCTATTGATAGCTGTGTGATTTCGATGTTTTACAACTCTAAAGTCCTCAATTGGATGTAAAATAAATACAAACAAAGGAATGTGCTACTGCTTTGGTATGAAACAGTAATTGAAAATTGAATGAAAGCATGCCTAAGGGAAGTACTGGAAGTAAAGGAATGGATGTTTTGCCTAAATTCTTGAACCCTGAAAGGTTCTTAACCTATTCTGCATACATGTAGAATATACTGATGTGAATAATTACAATAGGTATCAAAATGAAGCTATGGTTATTCAATGTTATTATCACTGTAAATGAGAACTCTCCTTTTTATGGCTGGATTAGTCCTGATGGATTGGAAAGACCTATAAACCCCTGTAAATAAATAAGAAAATAATCCTGGTTTCTGTGACCTGAGAATCTAATCAGTCTAGGGGCACAAATAGCAGCTACAAGAAAGAGAAAAACAGAAAATGGTTGGCGCATTAATTAATGCTAAAAAGCATTAATTAAAACAACCATGGCTAAAGTATGAAATATTAAAGGATGAACCATATTTATTTAAGATGAACAATTTGTAATGAATTAATTTACATGCAATTAAAAAAACATATCACGGTATCATTTACTTACTTCCCATTCCAGTACTTCAGGTTTTGAATAGAAAGTATTTTTACAATAATTGCATTTCAACTGAATATCGCTTGGAGCCACAAACTGGCCATTGGTTGAAGATGGTACATTAAGAGTCTGAAAAAAAAGGTTTAAGATACACAATTCATTCCAGGACAACAACACAGTAATCTATTTAAGAATTAGTGCCTAATATTCATTAGTTTCTTTGCACATTTAATTTCATTACTCTAAAAAGGATAATCCACTGAATTTCTAAGCTTATTCTATTATTAATGCATCAATGCATATATAACTGAAGACCATATAAGATAGACCACAGAACCCTACAAGTGAGCCACAAATTCAGATTTTAAACAGTGAGAGGCAGAGGAATGATAGAGGCAAAGATAAACATGGACAAATATTAATGTAAGACCAAAGGAAAAACAATGCATATAAGAAGAAGCTTATATGTCTGAGAGAGCAGAATAAATTAACATAGGGGAAGCTAGAAGAGCAACTGTTGCCAAGAGAATTTGGATTATATATGAGATGAGCTGGGAATTAGGCTATGGTGAAATATGAAATACAGAGAACGATTCTTCAATATGTAACCTATATTTCACCTGATTCTTTCCTTTCAAACTATATTAATTCCTCATAATTTTTGGTATCTTATAAACAAACACACACACATTTGCCAAAACTATATTTTATTTTTTACTTTAAACATGATTGATCACTGCTCTCACGTCACCATTTTAAATAAAATAATTTAAAAGAACATAAGTTATTCACATACTAATATTATAGTGTGGGCTTAATCATTCATGTCCAGATGCACAGAACTGTATATAGGTGGACAAAAATGCCAAATCCCCAGTCTAAACATCTGACTGACTGTGCAATGAACAATAATAATGATAATAAAAGACTCAAAGACTTTTGCTGACTGTGAAAAAAACTAATAATAATTTTAGATGCATAGTATGTTTAATATATATGAAAAGTTTATCCCAAGATATGGGAAATGAACAAACTGAGATTTTGTTTAAAAAATAAGAAATCAGAACTTAATAACAAAAGGACCCACCAAATCCTCCACTGCTCATTTGCCAAAGCCAACTTTGTATAATTTAGACTAATTGCATCCATTAGTTTTTATATAGTCAGCATTTTTAAAATCTTGGGAAAAGTGGGAAAAAAAGGACAAGCAACAGCACAGTGGACAGATTCAACGAACAGTGATGGGAGAACCACTGGAAGATCAGAAGATCCAGGATGACCTGGAGAAAATCTATACAATATATACAATCACTAAGAATTCATACCAATTTAATGACACCAATTCATCATTCAATACACACTTAAAATCATCAGCATATGTGCTTGTGTTTCATGTTTATTTTAAAAATCCAATTTCTTATTAGTTGGTCTATGTAAAGTGAAAATGAGTAGTGACAGAATGAAAAATAGTAGAAGTATTTTTGGAACCATCAAATTATGTATCTTACACAGGGAATCTTAGTGTATCTTACACAGGGAATAGTTTTCTTAAGTTTTTCAAAAGCACCAGCATTTGTAATTCAATTCAATTCAATCACTCACTCCTCACTCACTCATTCTGCTTGTTTGCTGCCCAAACCAAAAGACTCTAGGCAGCTAATAATCTCAAATACAAAATGATTTGTAATCTCCAAAACATATATAAAAATAAAATGAGCAAAACAGATAAAAACAAAAGAAATATAAATACCAAGTACCTCAAAACTTTCAATTACAACACAATTTTTTCTGCATTGGACAAACAGATAGCTTTAAAAAATTTTTTTGAAAGCTTAAGAGGGAGAAAGCTGATTAAATTTTTGCATGGAGTGAATTAAAAGAATGTGGGTAACTGCAGAAAGCACCCCTTCTGGGGTCCTATTAGGTGACAATTTCATAGTGACAGGATCTGGAGGAAACTGACCACATTTGATCTGATTAGGTTGGATAAATAAATACAGAAGATATTACCTCAGATAACCAAGTCTGGAACAATATAAGACCATAGAGATTATAACCAGCATCTAGAAATGCACACAGGTTGCAAACAATGCTTCAAAAAGAGGGAGATAATCAAATCTATCAGAGAACAATCATCTTTGTCCAAGCTACTGATTTTTGTACCAATTGTAGTTTCCTAATATACTAGTTTCCTAATGTTATACTAGTCCAAGCAGGGGGTGACTAGGACATGAGTGACTGGTCCAGAAATGATTACAATAAGTACACAAGATATAACTGTGCAAGAGCCCTCCTAGCCATAGAGTCACCTACTTTTCAGACAGAAGCTGTGAGCCTATAAGAACTCCCAAATTGCAGACTATCTCTGATTGATGGAATACAACTCTGTTCAGAGTCAGGGATAAAATTTCCCTAGAATTATTATGCCCACATTCTCAAGAACTCTGTCTTGGAAGGATTCAGTCAGCGTCTGTTCCTTCCCATCCAGATCTTTCAAACATTATATAAGCACTTCCATCTCATCACTTGTTCAGACTGAACATGAGATATATATACCTGGCTATCATTAATATATTGATGATAGCAAATATTGTGCTTATCCATCTTACTTTTACCTGTGCATTTTCAATCTGCAATGAGTAGGAATCTTTCACTGAAAAAATTGTCTGCCTTTCCATCACATAAAATTAAGTATTACAGGCCACTTGCATCAAATGAGAGCTATAGGTAGTCCTTGACTTATAACCATTCATTTAATTCAAAGTTGCAAACTGGAAAAAAATATTCCACAACTGGTCCTCATACTTATGAACATTACAATGTCCCTGTGGTCATGGGATTAAAATTTGAGCACTTGGCATGCATTTACAATGGTTGCAGTACCCCATTGTCAAAGACAATGAGGGAAGCCAGATATGCTTAACTGCGGCAAAAAAAGGTAAATATTTACCTTTTACTGAAAGACTACATTGCTTAGTGACAGAAGTGTGGGGTCCACTTGTGGTTGTAGTCAAGGTCTATCTATATTTCTCCATATTTGCATTTGAAATATTATCCCATAAAAATACTTTATATGCAGTCATTTGTAACCACAATATCCAGTTTCTATGATAATTAAAATAGTCAATAAGGGTGTTACAAAAAAGCTAGAATTATGTCAATTCCAGTATAACACTGGGAACATAAGAAATTAATCTACCTTAGATCGCTAGAAATAGAAGGAAATTTAGGCTAGAAATATACATATAAAAATAAGTCAGAAATTAGCTGAAATGATACTTAAGCTGACAAAAGATTAAAAATTAAGGGTACTACTGTTTAATGCCTTATTTTCCTCAGTTTGTACAAAGAAGTTACATATGCTTGAGATAAAACAGCATTAGTTGAAAAGGAATTATAGATTACAGGTATAAAGGTAGTACAGGTTAAATTATTCTAGCCATTTCAAAACAAACCCATCAATGTGTACTGATATGAAGATATAGGTCTGCCAATATAATTTAATCCAAAAACCCCAAACAGCAAAAATGAACTTGATCTAAAAATTTACTTAACAAAACTTTCATCTTAAATACTGTAAGGATGATCTATGGATAAGAAGTTCAGGTTAAAGCTCATTGCAATAAATCTAAGTCAAATCTGGAGATGAAATCAACAATCATCTTCATGGTTAACTATTAAAGCTTCCAATAAAACCAGCCAAAATTAAACAGTTTTAAAACTTACAAAAGATACCTCAATCTCTCTAATGTGTAATAGAACTTAATTTTTACTAGCTTACATCTATCACCAATCAAAACGTCCGCTCACCATGGAATATTTCTATTCTTTCTATGTTTATATTATGTTTCTATTTCATTTATACAAAGCTATTGGCAAAATAACATCAACATTAGATTTGCTTATATCAGATCTAGACAAAACTATCACAATGTATATATTCAAATAAAAGAATGCTTGAATTTATGCTCCTGGAAGTTGTAGATAAACCCACACCATGTACTTTTTCAATAAAAACTGGTGCAAACCTTTAAGAAGCTGCAGTTTTATCTATCCTCAAAACACATTCATTTTATCTATTGTTGAATTCATACTCTGCCTTTTCCTCCCTTCCCCACTTTTTTTTTTGTTTTTCCCCAGATTTTATTTTACAACTGAAATAGTGTATAATAATGCTAGGAGAAATGCAGCATAGCAGAGTGGTTAAAATGTTGAATTAGAGGCAGGGAGACCTAAATTCTAAACTGCTACCAGCTATGGAAGATCACTAGGTGACTTTAGGTAACCTATCTACCTTGGTCATTGGTAGCTGCTGAATAAAAGATGTGGTATAAATCTAATACTGAAAGGCCTTCAGAATTCTAGTATATAAAATATTACGCAGTATAAACACATAGCAATCTTATTTCATATATGCATGTGATCATCTTAAAATATCGGCTATTTGACAATCAACGTATTTAAAACCAATTAAGTGTTCTGTTTAGTATAATGTAATCCCTGAAAGGAATAGGATTTGTCAGTAAGCTAGACATGTTGCTATTTTAGCAGTAGAAGGAATCCAAAAATTAAAGTTTCTTTTTCACTGGTATAAGGAAAGAATTATTTTTTTACTTCTTGCCCAAACCAGAAAATCCTGTAGTAATTATAAAATAACTTGATATACGGTATTCAAGTACTCATAAGATTATTCATGTGCTAAATTATTTTTTTTTAAAAAAGGGAAGAGAACAAAAATGTCAAACATTAGCCACATACCTCTCAGAATAAGCAGAATAGAATTCAAATAGCCTCAAGAACAAAAGCACTAATGACAGTCTTTGAATTTTGGAAATCACTTCCTTATATATATGCTATGCTGATAACAGCCAAGCTTTAACAAGGTCTTTATTGGTAAGTGATAAACACAAAGAATTTTATTTGTGAAGAGTGGCTGTTAAGTAAAAAGTGGTTTCACAATAATATTAGCCTCCTAAGAATACCTAACAGGACATATGCACAGAATAATACATATCCAGGGAAGAAGAGATTTAACACAACAGCTAACCTGAAATTTAGCTACACAACTGGAACTGCAAAAGTTGTACAGTATTCCATCAGGCATTGTGGCTTGATACTGAGGTAAAGAGTTTCGCTTACAAAATTGGCAAACAATTCCCAAACCTAAAAGAAAAATGTAGTATACAAAAAAAAAATAAATGCAAATTTCCAGGTTACAAATGACAAAGCTAGCATTTATTAAAAGTACAGCAAAGGCTGAATCATTTATTCCTACACAAGCAACCTTTTCAGGAGTAAATCAAACAAAACAACTGCTAATTGTGCACACTTTCCTAGATAGGACAATAGAAAAAACTATAATTAATGAACAAGTTTTTGATGACCAAAATCATTGGGAATTGTGTATGAAACCTAGACTTTCCAATAAAATGATGTACATTTTTCACTATGTTCAATTTTATTAATTTTATATATAACACACACATCTTTTGTTTTACCTGACTTTGTAGAGTTTAAAAGAGTTTGTAGAGTTTAAACTCACACTATTTATATGGTTACCTAATCTACATACCTACCTACCAGACTATCCACTTTTAGGGTTGAACACTATATGATTAATGTACAAATTAGGTGTATTAAAAAGTACAAATTAATTACATAAATCATGTGACTATTGTTTCTAGCAAAGCACATCCTTAAATATTGTACTACTGATATTTCTGGCCAATGTACCGTGACATTAAATATCACAATACTAAAATATATTCAAACCAAGAGTGGAGTTACCATTAAAAACAGTCTGAAAAAGTTATAGCTGGCTGAAAACATGAGCTGAAATATTAATATTCCATGTTTTAATTATATTAAATTTGTTATTTAACTCATATGAGCCGTATTCTAATAATCTAAATATAATGTGGACATCAATCTCCTCTCAAGAAGAAAATCAGATAGAAGCAACAAGTGAAATACAATTTCTCTATTTTGGAAAGGTATTTTATCTGTTGATAAAGATACACCACCCCTTTCACTTACTTTGTGATTTTGCATATTTTGATTTGTGTGTGTTCATGCATGTGGTTGAGCAGTATGGCTCCATATATCCATTAGTTCCTATGCACTGTGTCATATCAAAAAACCTGCACTGAACTCTGCAACCAGTACAAGCGGTTAATTTGCCATATTTCTAAAAAGCAAATAAACAATACAAAAGGAATAATTATATTAATTATATCTGACTTAATCTCATTCAACAAGCAAGCAGGAATTTATGCACTGTTTCCCAATGCCACATATTTGCTAAACCTTCCATCAACATATATCCGAGTGTTATTCACATATACTTAATAAAATTGAAAAATACAAGGGGGTGAGGGAGCACATCGCATTCAAATCCATGCCTGCTGCACCTCAATGCCCAAGCATGTGACACAATAGATTGGCACATATGCACGGCTAAGGTAGGTTTACATTAAAGACACTTAAGTTTTATATGGGTATTTTGGTATCTCCCTTTCATGAATAACTGTGAACTACTCTATAACTGAGTTCTTAACAATCGGGTGCAGTGGGCAGCCTTGAAATGAACTATCTGTTTAGATGTTGAAGAAGGGAGGGAAAGCATTGTAATGTGTGAAAAAAAAAGAATTACAGGATCAGCCATAAAGTCCAAGTTACATTTGAAAGCATGAAATTAATTTACGTAATATCATTTTGAAACTGAATGCTAAATGGTATCTAGAAATTTAACTCTGAATGCTTATTTTCTTACCTCAAAGAAAGAAGACATCCAGATTTGCTTTTCTCAGCTAGAGAAACTCCAACACCAGCTATGATTGCAACCAAATGGTAACTCCTTTCAGCTTCAGTTTTGCTACTTGAAGAATATATCACTAAGTCTCTTATTTTAGTTTATTCAATATTGCTCAACAAAAACTGTTAAGCACCTTAACAAAAATCTCTGAACGCTGCTTAAACAACTTCATGAAGAAACGAAAACCACTCAGAAAAAGAAGATGGTTGGATAATATTAAAATTACTTGATTAGAAGGGTAAGTTCCTCCCCTCTCTAAAGTATTTTACTTGTAAATGGTGGGGGAGTTCTTTATATTTGCTGCTGAAAATAAATAAATGCAGGGAAATACAGATGGCTGCAGATGGAGTTGTTACAAAAGTGTGGATGCTTTTGAAGTACAGATTCTGCTTGAAGATAAGCAGTTACTTATGAAGTGCTAAATGTCTGATGAATTCAACTTTTTTTTCTGTTTAGTTGACTTTCTCCACCCCACCACTTTCTTTATCTCCTATCATATTTTTCCTTTTTTGCTATTTCTCCTTGAACAAAGGCAGGAAACATTTATATGTCTATATGCAGGGAGTGGTGACTCTCTTTAAATACCAAAGAAATTGATAAGGAATGGCACATGGAATCAATTAATTTTATAAATTTGGATGCACTTTATATGCAGTTTATTTTAATGAGCATTAATTAATTACATCAATATGAAATTACTTTTTTATCCTAGCCTGAGTAGTGGACATATGTATATATGCATACACACAAACACCACACAAACTTGCATACAGAAATCCACAGGGTTTGTTTCAGCTGGAATTAGCAATGTTACACCAACAAAGTGGAAAAGATGGGCACTGGACATTGAGATCCCTACTATTTTAAGATTACTTTCATAATTATGCTTAAAATGATCAAATAATTAAAAAAAACCACATTATTAAGTATCTTGAGGATGACTTCCCTGTTATGTCTCCTTTGGATATGTTAAATTATACTTCCATCAATCTCAGCTGGTTGGAAGATACTACACAAGAGAAAGTAGTTTTAAAGAAAAGTCCTAATATTGACATACTAGAATACATTCCAATATTAGGATTCTCAAAGATTACATTGCTTATATAACAAACAGAAGAAATGAATTCTATTAAGTAGATATAACTATAGGAATATTTGGATAGGATGTGTCAGAATATGTCTGAAAACTTCCGTATGTATAACAGGCAAAAGAATGCTTCAGAGCAATAATAGGAAACAATTACCCATGACAGTCAATGTAGGATAATGGTTAAACTGTTGGCTTATGAATGGGGAGATCCAGGTTTTAGTCCATTCTCAGCATCGAAGTTCTATAAGTGACTTTGGCCAGCCACTTAGGCTCAACCCAATTTACCTTTCAGGGCTATTGTTCTGAGGAGAAATAGGGGGGTATACTACCTCAAGCTTCTAAACAAAAGGTAGAGTTGATTAATCTAATTAATTAATCAATCTAATTAAGGAATCTAATAAAGAAAATACATTATGTAAAAGCCCAGGGCTTGCTTTGCTTTATTCTTTAAATACTGTTGTCTGTTTTACAGCTTCAGTTGTCAATACTCTCATTTAATTTAATCTTTTTATGAAAATCAATTTATTTTGTTTTAAGATTAGCTTGTTTCCTGAACATGGTTTTTGGGTAATAAAAAATTAGCACCAAAATGGACTGTATTTATAAAGAATACCTTAAAAGACAAGAGAGAGGTCTGATGATTTTTAACAAAGTAAAATCTAGCAATGGTAAGGAATAGTATTTTATAAATTAAAAACTAATAAACCTGTATTTTCAGATATTCTTCGGGTCCTTTTTTGTTGTTGAAATTTCTGCATTCAAGACTGTGTAATGCAATTCAACCTATCATTACATTGATAAACTTTTTTGAGAGGGGGAAGGACATGTATATATAAAACATAATAATCCAAAAGATGATTCGCTTGTCTGTGGTCTTTTATGCTGTATAAACCCAATTGACTGTAGCTTAATTGACAAAGCAGAACATAACTTGCTATAGCCTTCCTCAATTTTGTAGAAGTATTGATTCGTGCTGGGTGAGCATGTAGTTCAAAACATCTAGGGTGAAACAGGTTGGGAAAGACTGGCTTTGTATGTTATGAGAATATAGCTGAGGAATGAAGGCTTGCTCTTCCAAACTGCTCTTGAATCAATCTACCTCTAGGATACAGGAGTAACATTTTATATCTTAAGATCTGCAAAGCAAAATGAAAACTCTATTTTTGCAAATGTGGATGATGGAAGAATGATGAAATTTAGTTATCACAGACTATAGCAGAATCTTGGTATTTATTTTTCATCATAACTTCTTTATCATACTGAGTTCTGCATCTGTGCTGAAAAGGCATTCAGGGACTAAAGAGTGGAGATTTTTAGTGGGAAGTAAACCCTCACTGTTTATTTCTTAAACACTATTATTCTCCTCTTTTCAGCCTTCACAGCTGCCATGTGATTGGGAGCATTTTACATGCTTTTTTCTGAGAACAGCTTAGGTTACTTAATTTTTTTTTTTCATTGCTATCTTTCATCATTTTATCTTGTACAAAAAGACTACAGAAGTTGCTGGGAATGAACATTTGAAGGACTTGCCTTTAAATCTAGCTGTTCTCTGCAAGGTCATTGGCCTTCAAAGCACCATTTTGTGCATGTACATGTATACACAGTGAAAGTAAATGAACACTTTCTCCTATTCTGCATTTTTATTAAGCAAGGGATGTAAGATTTGTAGCTAACTGGCATTTTTGCAGGAAAAGGCAAAATTTATATCGCTGTTGGCTCTTTGGATAGTTCTGCAGCCATCCTTTCTTTAGTCTATTTATAGTCTAGACTTCTGTTAACAGTTGTTCACTTCCATAGTTCACCTTCCAAATTAGATTACAAGTAGTCCGTGATTTACAACAGTTGGTTTAGTGACTGTTTAAAGTTACAGTGGCACTGAAAAGGTAACTTATGAGCATTATGATTTATGAAGATGGTTTTGTAAAGATGATTTTTCACACTTATGACAGTTGCAGAATCCTCATGGTCACAAAATTAAAATTTGGATGCTTGGCAACTGGTTCATATTTATGACAGCTATTGTGTCCTGGAGTCATGTGATCAGCTTTTGCCAACTTCTGAAAGTAAAGTCAATGGGGAAGCCAGATTCAGTTAACAACCATGTTACTAACTTAACTGGATTGATTCACTTAATTGTGGCAAGAAAGGTTGTAAAATGGGGCAAAATCACTTAACAAAAGTCCCACTTAGCGATATAAATTTTGGACTCAATTGCAATCATAACTTGAGGACTACCTGTACTTTTAACCAAGCCTTAAAATCCGTTTCAATATTGAAATCTAGAGAGATTGTTGAGAAACTACAAATGCTTAATTTGAACTCCTCTGCCTTAGGATCACCAATTTGATCCAGTTTGCAAGACTGTGTATCTACTAACTCAGATCTATGAAAACTTTTGATATTCTTCTCAAAATCAGCCACAAACCAATTATGTGATCTGTAATGAATGTCCTACATTGATTTTTTTCAAGCTGAATTTCAAAGAAAGAAATCAGTTCTTTTCTATCAGGCTTAGTTTTCTTGTCACCCCCTTTATTATTCTGTTCAATTAGAGACATTGTGGTACTATAATATTAACTATATTTATAAGAATCATTGAACAAAAGCTAGTTATTATACTCTAGCATAAATAATCTCAAGACAAAAGCAGACAACTTGCAGAGAACTGCCTATTATGCAGGTTAAACCAAGTTTGGCCATGTCTAGACATGAACCCAGTCTCTCTAGTTGGAGAGCAGTTCCTTATCAGTCTGGTGCCAGCTCAGTGAAACAATTTAAATATCTGTCTTCTGTAGTCAAGTTAAATATGATGTAAATCATGTAATATTTCTGCTATGTATAGTCATTTACTATGTAAATCTCAGAAATGAAGCCACCATCATTCATCCAAATAAAAAAAAAAACCTATGAATTTTGGTTATAAAGTGGGTGTCCAAGATAAAAACTGGATGCCAGACTTTTGCTGGATGACATGTGTTAGACTTCTAGGATGGTTAAAGAATTTATGCCATAGGCCATCTGCCATTTCTGTTGTTTGGATGGAGCGCCAAAGACCATCAGACTGTTACTTTAAGTGCAATGATGATGAATTTCATTAATTCCTTTTCCCAAGACGGTTTTATAAAGATGATTGGTTATAGAAATTCTTGGCTATGAACACAATGTGTACAGGTGACTTCTCAAAAGTTAATTTGAACGTTATCTTTTCACAGCAGAAATAATTTACCGTATGTATTGTTAGCCCACGTTGCTAACATTTAAGAATTGTAGCACATGAAACTAC